TGGACCAAGGGCAAACATCTGACTTAGGCTGGGCTAATCAGATTCTCTTGAAAATTTGAACCTTGTGATCCTAACCTATTCTCAGAAGTGGACATGTGATACATTCCCAGTCAATTTATGGACTCCATTTTCCTGACCTCAGTGATTGCTTCAAATGTAGGTTCATGACCAAAATTGGACCATCCAGAGTCTCCCAGATTTTAGCCAGAATTGCTGGGGAAAATGCTTTCTCTTCTTCTGGGATTATAAATTGTAAGGAGGAACAATATAAGTCTAGAGCTACTGATTACTATGTTGCCATCATATCCCCTGAGAGCAAAGGCAATATAGATAAAAGCAGGATGAGTGCGACAGAGAGAGGGAAAGGGAGAGAGAGAGAGAAAGAGAGAGAGAGAGAGAGAGAGAGATCTGATATTATTTAAGTACCAGAATATTCAGTTATGTGGAATGCTATATGCCTTCAGACTTTTCAGTTATGTGATTGAATTATTTTATTTTTGCTAGTACTAGTTTGGTTTGGGGTATATATCAACTGTAGCCCAGAGAGTCTTGACTAATCCAGTCATGTGGAGTTGAAGCAAGAGTTGGGGCCACGGCAAGCCAGGGCTTCACACAAACCTAACTTTTGGTAGAGCCAAAAACAAGAGCCTTGCAGAGAAAGTCAGTCTGCAGAAAGAATGGAGAAGACAAGGAGAGCAAAGAAGAGATGAGAGATGCCATGGTTTCAGACAGAGAAAAACAGTACCTCTACTTTGTGATTTTTGTTGTTATTTATTTATTTATTTTTAAATTGATACGTAATAGATGTACATATTTTCAGGGTTCATAATACCTCTACTTTCTAAACTGGCTCCTATGAGACTCCCTCCCTCTTTCCTTATAATTCCCACTTTTATTTGAATTCCTTTAAGTGCATCTCAGTATCTGTAACAAGAGTCCTCAACCAAAAGACAAGTAGGAAATCAAAGCTTGAGAGGTGCTCACAGTGACATAAAGCCCAGAGGAAAACCTAAAGTAGGCTAGGAAGGCTGATCTTAGTAGAAATCACACAGCACCTACTGTAGGTTCTGCCCCTCCCTATTTATTGGTGGACTGTTTCAATTACTTGATTTCCAGGGAGGTACTTTCAGTTCAAGAACTTCAGAAAATAGTAAACAAGGCCTGGGGAGGAGGTGCTGCATGTCTGGGACTCTGTGTGCCCCTCTCGATGACAGCTGACCTGCAGAGAGATTCGAGAGACTGAGGTCACAGCTGAAGTTGATGAGCACGGTGGGAAAGTTACTCAGGACTAATGGCTCTCAATCTTCACACCTCTTATAAATTATGTGCCTGCAGATGATTCTTACACCATGCAATCATTCTTCCTTTCATGTAGTCACCCATCTATCCACTGATTCTGCAAATATTTATTTAGTACCTACTAAGTGACAGGCATTAGAGATACCAACACAGATGAGACACACTCCCTGTCCTCAAAGGGCAATGAGTACTTTTCATTTCCTTAATCTCTCTCTCTCTCCCACTATATGACCCTTATAAGGGCAGGGACCATGTCTTTTTGTTCACTTTCATATCCTAGCACCTGGATGTGCTCCTGGCACACAGTAGACACTTAATACATATTTGGTGAACAAATGATAAATGAAGGACTTTCTGTACATTCAAGACTAACCATTATTTTTCGTCTGTTTTTACTTAACCTGTGTTCTATTCTGCCCTCCCCCTGAAAGAATATCTTGATAGAGCCATCAGACAATCATATATTTTAAAACTATGTGACTTACATCCTCTAGAATGGCCCACAGTGTGTGCAAATTGCAAGCTCAGTGACAGGTGCCTGAGCTAACAGAACTTGGTAACCAAGAGTCCTCTCTGTGATGTAGATCCCTGGTGTCCAGGGACTCTCCCTCGTCTGATAGCTCTCAAAGTAACACTGCTCAGGAGGGAGAGCACAGAAAATGCAGCTGATTTATTGGCCTTGTGGGAACTGAGTGTGGAAAGCAGAAGCAGATGTGAGAAATGACTATCTCGACAGTGGCAGGAAGAGGTACACAGAGAAGACAAAGGACTCCATGTATAGCTGCGCAGGTTTGCCTTACACGAGGGCACCCAGCCAAGGGGGCAAGTGGGAGATGAAATCTAGCCAGGCTCTGCTTCCAAGCTATGAACCTGGCAAGAGACCATGTCAAAAGCACCCTAAGGACCAGAAATGACCCAGTGAGAAATCTTCGGGTTCTAAAGAAGACTGACAAAGCACTGAGGAAGGGTGTGGAGAGAGCCTGCATCTAGCACCCAATCAGAGGGCAGTGAGGTGGAGTATTGCCCACTCTGCTGGCCTCATTCTGAACCATTGAATGCCCACACCCCACACCCCTGCACCTCTAAACCTCCCTCTGGCACATTCGGTTCTCAGAGTGACAGGGCTGTCTCCTGGTAATAGCAGGAGGGATTTGTAAGAGGACATCTAAGACCAAAGCTGTCAGCAAGAGGAAAAGAACCACCCTGTTTCCCTGAAGATGGAGGGTGATGGGATGGCAGGTGACCAGGTCACAGCCTGCTGCCCGGGTCTCTGAACTGGCTGGCAGCAGAAGGCTTCCTTTCCCTGAATGTGGGTAGCCTTCACTGATGCTGGAGAGAACTCACGCACACAGCCTAACAGAAAAAACAATTTAGTACCAAATTGCTTTAAAAAAAATTATCCACATCCAGCCTTATTCTGCTTTCATGGTACATGGAGACTCCAGGGCTATTTCTAGCTCAAGACGCAGGAGTACTGATGAGCAATGGGGTTTCTGCCACTGCATGCTGATAGGACAGAGCTGTTGCCACCCCACAGAGGTGCTAGGGACAGGCAGCTTAGCCGCACATGGCCAGCACATGGCGGGTGGGCGGGAGGACGTCTGGCTGGTTCAGGGGGAGGAGCGGGGGATGGAACAGCTCTGAAACAGCATTTTGGAAGCAGTAAGCTGAAAACAGTGTGGCTCCGTGCGCCTCCAACACCTTCCTCCCAGAGCTTAGGGGTAAAGGGGAACAAAGAAAGGAAAAGGGAACATTTTAAGGTACCTTTAGCAGCTCTGTGGCTGCTTCTTTTTCCTTAAATCTGCAATGCCATTACAGGGGCAAGATGCAGTTCTCTCTCTCTCTCTCTCTCTCTCTCTTTTTTTTTTTTACTGAGAGAATGAATAATCTTAAGGAAAGGGGTCAAATCTTAAAGAAAGTTACCAAAACATTGTGGGGAGGTAGAGGTGAGGAAGGACTGACTTCAGTGATAAAATTTCAAAGGCTCTGAAATCATATGAATTTTAATTCAATTCCTGCCTCTTTTATTGTCACTGTGACCTTGGGTGGCTGCTTAGTTTGTCCCCACCTCATTTCATTCATCTGTAAAGTGAGGACAATCCTAGGGGTAGCATGACTGAAATGCTTCTTCTTTTCTTTTCCTTTTTTTTTTTTTTTTCTGGTGGGGGGCTGCCTGGGTGGTCGTGCCTCTGTCCAAGGTTCTAAACACTAGCTTCTTTTGAGCTGGTCAGTCATTTCAAAACCCAGGACACTACTGACTCTTGTTCATCCTCTCCTATGAGAATATTAGTTGTTTTTCTTTGTTTTTATATTTTATCTTAATGGAAAGCTTGCAATTTTTACACACTCAAAGATTGAATAGCAATGTGACTTATGTTGCATTACTTAACATTTAAAAAATCTACACATTGCCTTGTTTCCAACCGTTTAAAATATTTTTGCCTTCTAGGATATGGGACGTCAGACACTGCTTCCCCACAAAATTATGTCTAAAGCAATATTAATACCTACTTCCGTGGTTTTTGTTTGAATTAAGCATGTAAATACTTAGTTCCATGCCTGGCATAAAAGTGCCAAGACAAAAAGTGGCTTTTGTGGCATACATGTTTGCAAACACTCTATTTTGCTACAAAAGTTGCCCAAGATTATTTTCTAAATCAAATTGCAACTTACCCTGAGCCTTTTCTTTTTACATGTTATTCATTATTGGGGTAGGGATAGTCCCCTCAAGCCATAAGAAGGTCTTAAGGACTTTACACAGAGCAGAACTTTCCAAGAGGCTCTCTGGTCTTCAGCCCACACTGGTCACCCATGGATGTGCTCATTGCCTGAGCTCTCAGAGAAGAGCTGCTCTGCTGCTTCCATTCCTTGTTGAAGTTCACAGCGTTTGCAGTGGCAGGAAGGCCCAGGTCCTAGCACCCAGCCCTCAGTCTTCTGGTTTACCACCTAGCTGTTCTCTCAGATTGAGACATCTGCAAAGAGGCAGATCCCCTACTACCTGAGGGCCTGTGAGATTCCTGGAGCCCAAACCACCATTCTCTTCCCAGGCTCAAGGACTGTCTCCTTTTCCTGGGGTGGGGGTGTGTGGAGTGGAGGAGAAGACTGCATCAGCCTCTATTTCTCCAAATATCAAGTAATCTCCTTTCACTTGGGCCATTTCCTTTATTAATTCACCTTTTTATTCATTTACTTCATTATCATTATTATTTTGAATAGGATATGTCATCTTATAACAGGAATTTATGACCTCTTCTGTCATATTTTTATTTTCAGAGTCATGAACACTGTCAGGGTTCTATTCAATCTGATACCAAACAAAGATCTAAACCCATAGAATAGAAAAACTCAGGTCCATTGAAAAACAGAGCTCTGCCTTCTAATTTTTATTTTAATTCACTTGTTTCCTGCTCCCTTCAAAACATCACAGGGCTTGACTTTACTGCTTTTCTCTGTGAAATATCCTCTACTTACCCTTCTATGTTACAGAAGTTTCGTAACTCATCCATGAGCTATTTCACCTGACTGCACTGTGAACTGGGGAGAGAGAGCGGATCTGTAGGAGTTTGATCCTCTCAAGCAAGGAGATATGTATGTTTGCCTAAATTTCTTCTGCAGAAAGCAGCCAGAAACACAACCTCATGGCCTATATGTAAACCATCTGAGTTTCTCACTAATGTGATTAAATCTGTGTTCTTACTCAGCAGGGGCTTGCTGAAAACTGACATTGAAGTTGCTGGCTAGGATCACAGCTCTGCAAATTGTTTCTAACAGGTATGCAGTTATTCTAAAAGAAGTTGAGCAAGGTCAGCATGATGGGCATTTGTCTGATAGCCTCTGAGGCTAATGAATGTTATTGTTTACTTCAAGGAGGAAAAAGAGAGGAGGGATGAAGATCTGTGATCTATAGCCCAGAAAAGTTCTGCTGTTGGCTCTCACCATAGTTGTTTCTAAATTTTGCCATTCATGGAGGAAATGACTAATAAAATTTATGCTAACTTAGCAGTCAGCCATTAATAGGTTTATTTCTGCTGTTTATCAAATGTCTCTTGAAAGTCATCAGAGTGTTAATGCATTCAAGAGGTAGATGTAGCCCTTATTGACAAGCTAAATAAGTAAGCAGACTCAAAAGGAGAAGAAGAATGGGAACTTCCCAGGCAGAAATAGTCAACTACAGGGAGGAAAGTTATAACATCTTTTCTCTCAAAAACTTTCTGAAGCTCTGGTTAATCTGTGAAACCACGCCATCAAATTGGTACTGACAGCCTAAAACTATGGTGTTCAAATAATTGTAGTGTTCAACAGGGATCTGAGGGGGAGAGACCCACATCTTAAGGATGTAATGAGCATTGTAGGGGGGAAAGGATTACCTCTATCCTTTTTTAGGGAGAAGCAAAGAAACACACTGTAACCAAAATGTCTAAAAAAAAAATTTTGTTAATGGGAGGTGAACAGGTGGAAGGGAGGAAAAGGGGAAGGGTATGCACTTTCATGGTGGGTGCAGGGCACACCACTTGAAGACTGGACACTCTTGAAGCTCTGGCAGAGCAGAGTGGGGAGGGGGGCAGGGGCAAGATATGTAACCCTAACAATATTTGTACCCACAGAATTTGAGAAAAATAAATAAATATAAAAAACAAACAAACAAACAAAAACCACGTTAGATGTTCTACAAAAGTTAGGAAGGACTTTGGTTAAAGATAATAAACATGCAAGTGGAAGCCTTTCACTCACTCCAAACATTTAAGAATATGACCAAAATGTTTTCTATGTATAACTAAGCATGAAGTCAAGAAAGGGAAATTGCCAAGTTCCAGAGCAAAAAGTGAACTCAAAGTCAAAAGAGAGTAAGAGTTGTAGTGTGCATTTGGTAAGGCCTAAATTCACATTATCTATAGAATGTGGACACCGAAGCGTGATGCTAATGTTAAAAACTTGTCTCAATATTGATATAAAAGGAAATTGTATAAGTTCATTAAAAGATAGGTTTAAAAATACCCCAAATGAAAAAAAAGTCATTTTCAAGGATAAGAAGACCCAATATTATGAATATTAATTTGCTCCAAGTTTATCTGTAGTTTCAATCAGAATCTCAATGATAATATTTTGTGAATATTCTGTAGAAAAATCTCAGCTGCTTACGAAATGTCTATGAAAGGGCAAAGAACCAGAAAGAGGAGATAGAATCCTGAAGAAGGAGGAGGAAAGGGACTTGCCATAGCAGATATCAAGAAATTACTGTAAAACCTTAGTAATTAAGACATGACGTAGGGAGAATGGATGGTGGATAAAGACAGAGACTAATGGAATGGAAGAGAGCTTAAAAATAAACTCACTGAATGAGAAAAATTTGATTCATAACAGAATAAGCTATATAGATCAGTAAGCAAAGGAATGGGGTACTCAAAAATGGAGCTGGGACAATTGGTTAATCATAAAAAAAAAAAATGAAAGAGAGAAATTGCCACGCCAGACACAGAAATTAATTGTAGGTGGATTAAAGATTTAAATGTTGAAAACGGCAAAACTTTACAATTGTATCAAAAATAAAGAATATTTTAATGACCATTGAGTAAGAAAATTTTTCATAAATAAATATTAATAACAAAGTGTTAAAAAAACACAAAAATATTCATACATTTGAGTACACAAAATTTAAAACTTTTGTTCATCATAGTATGTCATTCAGACAGTGAAAAAATAAACAGAGATGTTTGAGACAATTATAACTAACAAAGGATTAGTATTTTGACTATATAAAGAATCTCTCTGAATTAATAAGAAAGAGACAACACAATAGGAAAAAAGGGCAAAAAGTCATGGATATCATCACAGGAGAAAACAAAAGTGGCTGCTAAGCACGTACAAAGAGGGTTAGTACTGGAGTCATTAAGGCCATTGACAAACACTCCAGTTCCCCTTTCTCTGGGCACATGGGAGGGATTGTACCTCCCTGAATAGGCATGTGACTTGCTTTGACCAATGGCATGAGTTCCTCTTTTTTTTTTTAACAATTGGACCCAATGCCATACCCACCCAATGGTACAGCAACTGTCCCAGATAGTAGAGGCTCACCCTTTCAGCCTCCAACTCTAGGTGAAAAGACACAGAACTGAGCTGTCAACCAACTCATGATGAAATAATGATAATAATGATGAGTGAGGAATACACGGTCTTTGAAAAATCACTATTATTTGAAAATTATTGTTTCCACAGTATAATGTAGACCAAGAGTTCTCAAAATTTGCTGCATAGTAGAATCTCTAGAGAAATTAAAAAAACAACAACCCAATGCCAAGTTTGAACTCCAGCATAGTTTATCTCTGAGAGTAGGAGGGATCAGTAATTTTTTAAGCTCCCCAGATGATTCTGATGTATGGCCAAGGTTAAGAATCAGGAACCTGACCAGCCTGAAAGAAGTTATAAGAAGGGAACATTCAGACAACAAAAAAGAGCTCTTGAAAATTCAAAGCATAGTAGCAGAAAAAACAAAATAAAACAAAAAAACTCAATAGAGGGGCTGGAAGATAAAGTTGAAGAAAGTTTCCAAAGTGTAGAACTAGAAGACAAAGAGTTTGAAAATGGAAAAGAAAAATAAGAAATTTAGGGGACTAGTCTAGGATGTCCTAAATCTATAAAAGAAAAAGAAAAAAAAAAAGGAACAGAAGGAACAGAAATTGGATGAGGAAGGAATAGTCAAAGAAATCACATACAATTATTTTTCCAAACTGAAGGACATAAGTTAATAGAATGAAAGGGCCCTCTGAATGCCCAGAAGACAGATGACACTAGACTCAATGGAGACAAAGAGATCTTACAAGCTCTTCTAGAGAGAGGGAAAAGGTCATGTACAAAGGATAAGAAATCAGCATCTCTTAAGACTTCTGGAAGCTAAGGACAGTGGAACAATGCCTTCCTAATTGTGGAACAAAACTATATCCAACTTAGAAATCTCCTCTGGGAAAATTATCAATCAAATGTGAGGGTAACATAAAAATATTTTTATATCTACATAGTCTCAAAAATGTATCTTCCTAGAACACTTTCTCAAGAAGCTACTGGACACCACAGTGACTATAGTTAATAACAATATATTATGTACTTGAAAATTGCTGAGTAAATTTTAAGTGTTCTCGCCATAAGAAAATGGTATGTGAGGTAAGGCAAATGTTAAATGGCTTGACTTAGCCATTCCACAATGTATGTACATATCTCAAAACGTGTTGTATACCATAAATATATACAATTTTTACTTGCCAATTAAGAAATAAATTTTATCCAGGTGTTATGAAGAGTAAAAAAAAATAAAGAAATAAATTTTAAAAAAGAGAAGCTATGGAAGGATATGCTCCATCAAAGTAAGGAAACAAATGAAGAGAAAGGACAGAAAGGCTTCAACACCAGAGGTAAGGAGAGGCATTGCCAGGGTGAGGGTGAAGGGAGAGCCCAGGGTAAGGCAGGTTTAGAAGGCCCCAGGTAAGTCTTCCAGGAAGGTGAAGGTCAGTGGGATACAGGAGGCATCTGAATGTACTGGAAGGAGGTTTAAACTGCTGGGCTGGAATTAGTTTAGCTAGAGATTCATGGAAAGCTAAGCAATTGGAAAAAAAAATTACTTTTTGGCTGTATTTTATTTTTAATTGACAATAATAACTGTATATATTTATGGGGTACGATGTGATGTTTCAGTACATGTATACATTTTGGGATGATCAAATCAGGCTAATTAGCATATCCTTCACCTCAAATATTTATCATTCCTTTACAATGTGAACATTTAAAACTCTTTCTTCTAGTTAATTTTGAAATAGGGTCATGTGTCACTTAACGACAGGGACACATTCTGAGAAATGCACTGTTAGGCAACTTTGTCGTTGTGCAACAGCATAGCGCATACTTACGCAGCCTAGGAGGTATAGCCTACACCTAGACTACATGGTACAAATTGCTCCTAGGCTACAGACCGGCACAGCATGTTACTGTACCTAATTACTGTGGGCAATTGTAACACAGTGGTAAGTATTTGTGTGCCTAGACAAATCTAAACATAGAAAAGATACAGTGAAAATATGGTATAATATTATGGGACCACTGTTTTATATGTGGTCTGTCATTGGTGGAAGCATCTCTATGCCATACATGACTGTATACAATACATTGTAAGTTATTATAAACTGTAGTCATCATGCTATGCAATAGATCACCAGAAAGTATTCCTTCTAAGTAAAACTTTGTACCTGTTGACAGGTTTGAGCCATAATCCTGAAAGACACAATCCCAAACACCATAATCCCAAATGTTGAAATCCTCACAGATCAAAATCCCTGAAGTCTAACATCCTAAAAATGTAATTATGGAAAAAAATAATTTTAAAAAAGTCTTTAAAAGACATTTATTTACATTTTTAAAAGGAGATTTATTTGAGAAACACATAAAAACACAGCAGAACACTTCATGGGCCACTTTACACAATAAATGAGGCAATAATAACATACATATATTTGCAAGCATAAATACTCAGCTATGATAATGATAGTCACATGGGTATAACAGGAGCAGACAAATCATATTCATAAAGAAATAGGTCAAAAACTAAAATGCATAAACACATACCACTATTGTTGGTAATTGTGTGCACCCAGCTTTGTAACCATGGTCATCTGACATATCATGACAGACAACCTAAGTCTTTTGATGAGATTGACCAAAAACCAGGATGAGTCACCACCACAAATGCAGCTTCCCAAAGAGCTAAGATCTCAAGAAATTTTATCTTTCACAAATGCATATGTACAAGAAGAAAATCTCTTCATTTATTGAGGAAGTTTCAACATTTTTAAGTCCACGCACAATGCTTACACACAAAGTCAACATTGTGATAAGGTGCTTTCATGGAGTCAAATTTACAAAAAGCCATATAAAATGAATTAGAACTCTCTAAAAGTCTTTACACAA